ATGCAGCTGTGTCTGACTTGAAGCAGTTGACTTTAGAACAAATTCACAGCTCTTGATTATTTTTAACTCATTAAAACAAACCTTTGTGGTTGTAATGTTTCTATTTTCTTTATTTTCTGTATTAGTATATATACTAATCCCTGTTCCTTAAGAGTTGTTTGGGGCAGAATTCACGGCTGCCCCCTTGAAGGAAGACAGCAGCGTATGCCAGCAACCAAACTAGTTATCCTCTGGACTTAATTACATCTTGTACCAGTCAGAATAAATCACGGCTAACAGTGGAGATGAGATTAGTAAAAGATTAGAGCGGGGGGTTGCCCAGTTAACAGCACAGAAGTTCACTTCAAAGTCTATTTAGGGTTTGCTTGTTTGACTCAGGCTATGTGAGCAGGGTTAAGTCTTATGTTTAAGGTAGGAAGTATGAAATGGGTGAGGTGCGTGCCCTAGAAGTGCAGGGATCAAGGCATGATCTGAGGATGAGAATGGGTGATAAACATTGGAAGCAGGCTGGTGTTTGTGAAGGTGAGGTGTGTGGGAGATGAGAGTATGTACCTGGAGTCTCATCTAGAAGGAAGCCAGGAGGTGCCATGGAAAGGTGAGGGAGATTTGGAAAAGATGGAGGAGCAAGCAGGGATTTGGGATGCTTGTAGGGAATTTTGAGCGTGTGCCTGTGCATCTCTGAAACTGTGGTCACTTGAAAATTTTCTTCGTTACCTTTTTCATCCTTTTCAACAGTGACAAATGCAGGGCTCTGCTGGAGGAGGGTTGACTTAACTACAAGAGTGTCTCTTGCTGAAACCCCACTGTGTCAGCAACACAGTGAACAGACAATAAGATGTAATGTCCCCTTGGGGAGTGTCTCCAAAAAGGCATTGCCAACACCCTCTTCCTTTCCTATGAGTAAGTGAATACTTACTACCTTTCCATGGCATGTACAGCTTCACAGTAACCTTTATTAGCCTCACAACAATCTTAAATTACTAAATTCTGCTGGTTAATATTTCATTAATATTCAACTACATTTGCGTTATTTATATTAGAGATCTCTGATTTTGTGCTTACATAGCTACATGTTATAAAAAATAGGAGGGTGTGAAATACTAAATTTCTTTTGCCCAGTCCAAATGCACTCTGCTTTTAACACTTTTCTGTGCCATGAAATCTGATGCATTCCTGGCTTGTTACTCTGTAGGATTTCTTGCCTTGTTTTCCAAAGAGTCCACTGAACATTATCCATGTCAAAAGTAAATCGCCTCTCCCATTTATTCCTTATCCACAACAGTAATTAATTAGGTCTTTACCTTAAAAATGGAAATTGTCTCTAATTTTAACCAAAAATCCTTGGCAACAGAATTATGTTGATGGTACCTGAGCAAGCCAAATTTGGGAAGCCCTGCTGTTCAGCCAATCTGAACCTCACCACTCTGGGTTGTAAACACCCGCCATCTGTTACAATTTGGCATAAGAGGGGGTACCTATAGGCTGCATGTCTGTGAAGTATTTTCTGTATGAGATAGCTGTTGCACCGTAAATGTATGGGTGAAAGAGATTCTATTCTTTCACAAATGTTGCGTTTACACTGCTGTGGTTTATCTTTATCATGGTTACTGTAATTGTACCTTATATGTAGTGAACTTTTTAAGGTGAATTTTCTGTCAAGTGTGGTTTTTGTTAATAGCTGACACAAAAATAATGTAGAAAAAAGCAAGTCGATGTGTGTTTAAGTGAAATGTCCAGAGACACGTTTGAATAGCCAAGTGGGATATATTGGTGAGACATCCACGTGGCCAAGCTCTGCTATCTTTTTGCTGAGACCCGAGTGCTAAGTAGTTGAGCAGAGATTAATGCAGTTTGGCTGTGTGAAGGATGTTGACTTGCCCTGACTGCTTCTTAAGACACTGGCAAATCAGGTAGGCGTGTATATAAAGCATAGCTAATTGTATATGACTTCACAGAACATAGCCTGGAAACATGTGTTTGCCCTTTGATTTCTGTCCAGCCTGGTAGATCCGGCTTTCTTTAGAGTGTAAAGTTTTCTTTTCTTTTGCAAAATACCGTTGTTTCTTTTTTGATCTTTCCTTAAAGAAATGAATGGAAGAAGGATTATATTTTGGGGAAAACAGCAACTGAGGCAGGTGTTCATGGAATCTGTTTGGAACAAAGTTCCAGTTCTCATGTCTTGGCACTTTGGTCTGTTGCTAGACTCATTGCAAATGACTGGATTCAGGAAATAGCAGTGGGAGAGAAAGAAGAAAATAATATATGCTTGTGTTGACTAAGGTGGTTTTAAATAATGTGAAGAATAGCAGCATTGTATGGTTAAAGCAAAAACTGGACTTTTATACTCTGCAGTTGGCTTACTGTTATCTTCAGCTGGCAGCTTCTGTTGGTTAAGTGCAATAGTTTTCTTAAGGGAGTTGGGAAGCTTCTCTTATGTTCATGGAACTCTGATTTGGGGATCATAAAAATAAAACTGCTCAAATAATTTATCACTTAAAAACAGACTTTTTCAGTTTTGGATATTGTAGTAGCACTTCACCTGTCTGATGAGCATTGACTAGATTAATAGTGAATTTGTTACAGTGAGAAGTGAGTTGCCATCGGTTATGTCGTGTGAATTGGTTGTAAATACTGATCCTTAGTCATCCTTTTAGGCAAGTTTTTGGCTATTGCTATAAAAAATGTCGGGGGTTCCTATCTTCAAACACAACATAGCCCCACAGCCCCACACCAGTTGGCGCAAAATGAACATATGAATAAGCAGCAAAATTATTCTTTTTGAGGCTTCTTTGTAATACAAGCCTCCCCATGAAGTACTCGGGTAGCTGAGGGGGAGCGACTGTCTCTGCACTGTAATCTTCGTGGTTGCTCTATCTTTATGTAGCATACCACAGAAATGACTCTGATAAGAACGCCAGACCCACTGGAGGAGAAATTTTGTTTACTTTTTTAGTTTTAAATGCTTGAAAGACTTGTGTGTGAGTTTGGTGTCATATGAAAAGATTAGAGGTTAAAATGGGGAAAACGGTTCTTTTGGTTGTACTTTACAGCAATGCTTGCACAGGTAGTAAGTTTTGTGAAGTAAAACAGTGCTGCCTTGTGAAGAACCTTTCATTATAAGCCTTTAGGCCTGTAGAGAGTAAGGTTAATGGGGTGAGAATCATTCTCCATGCCAGAAATTTAAAATAAAATATGAGTTAGTAGATTGAAGTCTTAAATTTGTGAAAACTGTAATTTGTTCTACAAGTCAGATTACTATATTGCCTCATTACTCACTGTTTTTTTCAAGTTTGTGCTTGATGCATTTCTGTGACATAGGAGCAAAGAAGAGGGAGGCAGTTTGGCTATTTTTTTCAAGAATCGAGTATACAATATGAATTCTTGAATACACGATATGAAGTCAAGAAACTAATATCATATTTTAGTATCTTATGGTGATTAAGATACATAATTAGTCTTTATTTCTTCTTGTTTCTGACATTGATTAGACCACCAAATGACTTCTCTGCTGTTTGTTATAAAATTCTACCTGTTTGATCAATAGGAAGTAAAATAGGAAATAAAAATTAAATGTAAGCCTGTGAATTTCTGTGTATACTAGTAAATATTTTATAGCACTTGTGCCAGTAGCATCTTTGCCTTTGTTCCTTTCCTTTGTTTCCTCAAATCCAAAGTATTTTGACCTAGTTATATAACACAAAGATAGTCATAAGTAAATTTTCTAGTGCACCATTTTGTTATGTTAAAGGCACTATTTTTCAGGGTAATATACTTTCACCCTTGATTGATGTTTTGAGGTAGCGGTTGTAGCCTGGTTTTTGTGGAATTCACTTGGGACGCAGACAGACACCTGCTTTTGTGGTGTTTCACAAAGCCGAGAACATAATCGGTAAAAGACTCATTACTCTGGTCGTTAGGATTCCCTGGTCATTTGGCAGAACATCCAAAATGATAAATGTGTAGGAGGAAAGTGTTACAGATGGTAGTTTCTTGACCAGTTCAAGTTGTCATGGCTCGGCTCTTTGTTTCCTCACAAGTATCTGTCGAATTGCAAGCCCTAGAGCATTGGGAGCTTGTCTGGGCCGAGCCTGTTCCTCCCCCAGTCAGCGCTAATGTTGCTCTATGCCTCAGCCTGCTTCTCTAGGCGATAGCTGAGGTGCTTAGTCTGCAGGAGAGGAGACCTCTAGCAGCAGGGCGGAAGAGGGAGGGTTGTGGCTGGTGCTTTTTGCACAGGAGGACCAGCTGAACTGACTAAGTACTTTTATGGACCCATGACCTCTGGGTCAGTTATTCTGACCAAGTATCCCATTGTTTAAGCTCTGGTTTGGAGCAGGTGCTGTTGCGATTCCCTTCCCTGCTTCCCTGTTCTGCCAGCTTCTTTAGCCTGATTTTTTTTTTTTTTTGCATCCCTTTTCATGAAGGGAGAGATCTCCCTGCCTTCCCCCCCCACCTCAGATTTGTTGCATTAAGTCCTCTTGAATGTGTGCGTCTTTGTGGGGAAAAGAGGAGGGTCCTCCACCCCCAGAATTACTATGTGAAGTCATCCCAAATATATGGATGTTCCAGGCTGAGAGAACTGTTTTTTCTTAGACTTTTTTGATCTATACACCAAAAATAAATTCTTCCTGTTGTATTTGAGCCTATTTAAAAGCTATTGTTTTGAGCTTTTAATCTGTAAATTGAGTAGTTAGTATGAGTGGAACAGTGAATCAGAGATGCTAATGAGCATGTATATATTTTACATATATGTACATGTCTCTGTGTACACATACGTATTGCTCAGGAATTGTGTGCAAACTCATCAATGTGCCTGCAATCAAGGATTATACCAAGGATCCCCTCTCCAATCAAGGAATGTAACAGTTAAACAGCTAAATGTATATTTTGTCATAGAAGAAAGAAAGAACACACAACTGATGTATTTGGTTATTAGCTTGAATGAGTTTGGGAAAAGTACAGGGGTGTTTATTTATATCTAAATATATATATTATTTTAACAGCTTGCTTTTACACGAGATGGACTCTGTGGATTGTGGAATGAAATGGTAAAAGATGGGGAGATTGTATATCCTGGAACAGAATTAACACAAAGTGGTGAACTACCTCCAAGAAAAGGTATGTTTTATTTCTATATTTTTTCACTGTGGTGGTGAAAATGAAATTCAGAGTTGGTGCTAAAAAAAATCTTGAGCTACTCATCAAATGCCTTTATATTTTTGCATATTTTGAACTGAATAGAATTGAAAATGATTTTATAAAAGTGTAAAGAAAGATAGCTTTTAATTCAGATTTTATTCAGTCCGGATTCTGATGAGAGAGGCTTGGGAGTGTACTTGTGTTTGCTACACTTAACTGTGTTCACAGCTGAATCTTCTGATCTAAAGAAAGTGGACAGAGAAAGGGAGTAAATGCAATATTACTGTTACCTCTTGATGATGTGATGTGAAAGGTAAGCTAAAAAGCTGTCCATAATCTGGCTGAAAATGCTGCATTTATTTACTTATTTTAAAGTCTCCCAGTTTATTTCAATCACTTCCAATCCTACAGAGGGCAGATTGATACGTCTTTCCAGAAGAGATTATTTGTATTTTGGTAGAAGTGGGTGTTGTTTCACAGAGCTGTTAAGTAAGACAGGCTTGCCAAGATGGAGTGGTCCTGCGCCTCTATTTTTCTTTGTGTGTTGGTTGTGGTGCTCTTCTGACTTCTCAGTGAGCAGAAAGCTAACACAGTTGAAAAAGGTTTGATTTTCCTAACCTATCAGAAATGGCCTTAGCAAACTGTCTGATGTGTTTTCTCAGTAATCAGTGTGACGACAAAGTAATGAGACGCTGCCTAGGAGAGGGTAGAACAGGGAAGTGGAAATGCTTGCTTTGGTAGCAGTGAATGTTATTTCACTTTCTGCTGCTTCCTGAGCTCCCTTGTGGATAGATGTGGTATTTCAAACCAGTAATGCTTAATCCCTTCTGAAGATTTCTTTTTAACCTCCAATTTCGTTCCTAATTTAAAAAAATAGTCTTTTGGACTTGGGGGAAGTTATTTTCACAGGAAAGAAGCCAAAATAATTTATCTTTGAGGGGGGAATGCATTGTATGTTATGTTTCTCAGGAACATAACCTTCACAATTGAGAGTGGGAAGGAAGTTAAGATGCTGTAGATTCGGCTCCTGAATGCTTTTGGCCTGGAAAACTTCTTTCTGTCTTTTTCTTGTGGTGCTGGCTATACTGAAGATTGTTGTTGGTGTTGGATGAAAATGCAGCCGATTCCATGGAAAGGCTACTACAGTAGCTGCTTATGAAATGGATGGAGAAATATAATATTTTTTTTCTTAGGATTGGCTAGTACTAAAAGACACCCTAAACTTGCTGTGTTGAAGGGTAGTCCTATTGAGAGCTCATGATAGAAAAGTATCACAGTAAATGTGGGATAATGATATTCTGCTCTGATGTAGCAAAAAGACAGCAGACATCTGTATGAGAAAAAAAATATATTAATTGCACCCCATAAAGCAGCTATTTAATTTTTCTTTTTTCTTTCTTTCTTTTTTTTTTTTCCTGTGCCTGATCTTTATATATCACTTTTAAAATTGTACCTGTGCTGGTTCTGACAGAAAGCTTACTCTTCCAATATTGTTATGGCTAAATACCTGCAGAGAAATACACTTTTTGTTGGTGCTGTAGTACTTCTAATAAGTCTATAGAAAGGGTTCACAGTAGATTTTGCTTTCACAGGAATCATTGGAATACAATTAAATAGGAGAATGCCAGCTGTCAGTTCTGATCAAAAATTTAGAGCAGTACAAATCAAACATCAGAAGTGCTAAGCAAATCTGTCGTTGGCTTGTTCATTTATACTTGTAACACCTATTTTGAATCATGATTTGAACTTCTTTTCCAAATTTGGATGTGTATGCATATGACTTGAAGGATCCAAAAGGTATAATATGTTAAGGGTTCTAGGATTCTATTCTTTAAAAATGCAGAAATTCTGTCAGATTTCTTTAGAAATAAGGCATTTTGTTTATCTTACAATGTCAGTGGTCCAAGCTGTGGTGAGGCTTTTTGAGGCTTTCTCACATTTCTGTTTTTATGATTCTTTTTTTTCTTTTAAACAAGACTGCCACTTGTTTATGGCAATACTGCATATGGTAAGCTAGGTATAAATAACTACGGAACAGACACAGAGATCTATTCAGAAGTGAGCATTATATGAGTCTGCCAGCATTTTGCCTCATTTTGCTAAATTCTTTAGTTAGAAGCTTCCTGAAACAATGTGGAAAGCCATAGAATTTTATTGGATGTTCCATAGTTTTGTGCCATCTAAAAGATTATGATTCAGCATGGTCCTTATTTTAGCCCTTATCAATAAATAATGGGATAGGAATAGTTTCTGGTTGAAAGTTGAAATAGTTCTGAACTATGAAAGATAGGCCTGTGAAAAGATAATGTACAAGATGACTCTCGGAATTTCTGGTTTTGTTGTACTAGGCACCCATAATGAACATAATGAACAAGAGGGACATGGAGCTTCTAGAGAGGGTGCAGTGTAGGGCCGCAGGGATGATCAAGGGACTGGAGCATCTATCGCAGTGTAGGGCGGCAGGAATGATCAAGGGACTGGAGCATCTATCGTATGAAGAAAGACTAAGCGAGCTAGGCCTTTTTAGCTAAGAGAAGACTGAGAGGGGATCTTATCAACATGTCCAAGTACCTGAGGGGGGAATGTAAGGAGGATGGGACCAAACTCTTATCGGTGGTGGCCAGTGACAGGACAAGGGACAATGGGTGCAAATTGAAACACAGGATGTTCCATCTCCGTATGAGGAAGAACTTCTTGACTGTGAGGATGACAGAGCCCTGGAACAGGCTGCCCAGAGAGCCTGTGGAGTCTCCTTCTGTGGAGATCTTCCAAACCTGCCTGGATGCCACCCTGTGTCACATGCTCTAGGTGTCCCTGCTGGAGCAGGGGGGTTGGACTAGATGATCTCTAGAGGTCCCTTCCAACCTTAACCATTCTGGGAATCTGTGTAACACTGCTACACTGATATTTGTGGGACATTCTGAAGCAAGTGAAGATTTCCTTAAAAATTTAAGACACGAATTGAATTCAATGGCATAAATAATCTGAACAAATTTTCCTCTGGAGAAGTACAGGAGTTGCATAGTGTACATAGATCTGTTTTTTGTGCAAAAGGGCTTTTCTTCTGTGTAGGTACATCTAAACTACCTGTCATTTAAAAGCCTTAGGAGAACTACAGTAGTTCATTTAGAAATTTGAATATAGCCTTTTCAGGCTGTTAACTCTTAGAATTTCTCATTCTTCTCATCTTCTTCACTGATTTCTCATTCAGTGAAGTGAGTCTTCTTAAAAGCCATTGTGCTGGCCTGCAGAATTTGTATAAAATATAACCATCCTACTAGACTTGCATTTTGAAAAGCAGCAGCTAAACAAGGCTATTTTTGGTCAAGGCTACTAGGCAGCCAAGTGAGTTATGGAACTAGAAGAAATGATGCTTAATTTGTTCCTCTGAACTTTGAAGCTCTAATTAAATTTCATGAAATTAAAATCAAGCATATTTCAGTCTGTTGAGTTGATAGGTGCATTTTTGCGTAAATGATTTACAAATGTAATTCAAGAGGAGAGAGGAAAGTCCATATAGTCCATAATTAGATCTAAGTATCAGCGATTTTGTGTTAAAAGCAATATATTTTAATCTCAGTATTCAGATTCTCCAGTTGTATTCACTAATTTGAGATGAATAAGAAAGATACACATCCAAGAGAGTTGTCTATACCTAGTCCTTTTATAATGCCTGCTGTTAGTAGTTTTGATTTATACTTATGAGTTGTAATCCCTCCCTCCCTCCTTCACCAGTGCTGTGGCTTTTAGTGCTGCCTGGGCTGCTCAGAAGAGACCCTTCATTCTTGCAGTGGGTATCAGCAGAGGCAATAGATTGGAAGGACATACCAGTGATAGTGAAAATTTTGCTTTTTGTTTATTTATTTAAAACCATTAGTAAAACCATTCCTAACCTATTGTATAGGAATAACCTTTCTGTTTTTCCTAAATAGTATTTGACGCGCATTTCAAATGGGTGGTTAATGTGTTCATCTGGCTGTGTGTGTGTCTTTGCAAGGAGCTTCCGAGGACGCAGCTGTGACAGTAGTGATATGGAAATACAGGTGCACCTCCAGTGCAGCAAAATTATCAGGCTACCATTGGGAAATGTGGGATCCGATTAACATTTTATATACTGGAAGCTGTGTACTTAAATAATAAAAAGTATTAGATGATGGTACTTCTGTCTAATATAGGAAGCCATTCCAATGAATTTTGGAGCTGCAACAGTTAACCACACAGATCTATTACTTATTTATCTATTTATTTATTATTCCTCAAATTTCTGTATAGATAGGATTTCTGTTTCAATTAGTTATATTCAAGTTTCAGGACAAAAATACCAAATTAAGAATCAGATTCATGCCTCTAACCTGCCTTGGTGAAATGCTCTGGGCTTTTTATTTTCTTCTCTCCGCCCTCCCCTCTCCAAAGCCAGACCTTTATGTCCGTTAGCTCCATTGAATCGGTCAGCTTCATCCGCGGTTGCATCTGCATAGAGGTGGTAAAGTCCAAATGCCATGAAGTGATTCTTGTGAGGCTGGCGGAAAGCAAATCTTGGTAACAACAGTAACAGCACGTGGGAATTGGCTCTGCTGACTGCTATTCAGAACACATTTATCTCTCGCTGTAGTAGTGAACGAGAATGCAAGATAATCATCTGGTTTAGAGTTTCTTTGTTGTGTAGGGGAAAAATAAACAAACAAAAACCCCCAAAACAACCCTGCTGTGCATCCCCTAAGCCAGCCGTACTGATGTACCCAGGGGCTAAAGCATTCAGTGTGCAGGAAGCTGTAGAGTCACATCTTGTTTGCAGGACAGAGGGAGGTCTCTAGCCCTCCTGCTACATAGCTTGATTCATAAATGGAAAATGCTCTCTATTTGCTTATCCAGCAGATAATTAAAAGCACATTTTAAAAAGTGCTATATATGAGAAGAAAAGAAACTTTACTTTTTGTTTAGAGTTAGGAGACTAGTGTTTTCTGTGACCTGGATTTTTACACATGAAAGTCTATGAAAATGTGTTTTGCAAGTTCTTCCCTCACAAACTATCAACTGAAATTTTTAGTGCAAATATGTTTTGCAAGTGAATAGGTTCTTTCCTCACAAACTATCAACTGAAATTTTTATTAAAAAAAGAAAAAAGCATTAAACCCCCCAAGCACTAAGGCCTCCTTGTCCCATTCAGTAGGATGATAGTCACCAGTGAAGGCAAAATCAACACTACTAAATCTCTCTATCTTTTACTTACCATAAGCCTGCTGGGAGCTGGATTTAAAGCTTGTGTCCGGCCCACGCATTGACAGGCCTAGGGGAAGTTCTCACAGACGAACAGGTTGCTTGCACATGCTGCAGAATCCGTAGTGACCGCAGTGAATTTGCTGATCTTGTGAAGCTGTGTGTTATGGTGAAACAAACTGTAAGAAATGACTTGACTATGTAGGACTTCATCTGGTAATGCTAATTTCTCTTAGTCTGCTGTTTACAGAGAGAACAAATGATAGTTTTGAATTGATTTTTGGAGTATTTCCCTGAACTGAAACTGCTGAATGCTATTTTAGAGCAGTTTTAAAATGCAGCTCATGTGCAGCTCATCTGCCTAACTTCTTGCCTTGTGAATGATGAGGTATTTGTGGCAACATCTGCTGGGATGTGGTTGCAGCCATTTTTGCTTCTCCTTAAGAATTTCTGCCTGTATCGGTTCATTGGCATTCAGGAGCAGCACAGGATCTTACTGTAGCAGATGCCTGAGACATCTAAGCAGTGAGAATCACCTTCTTTGCTGAATATGAAATGTGAGTCCTTTTCTGCCTCTGTGCATAGTGTTGTCGTAGGCTGTTGCTGTGACCACATGTAGGGCAGGATCAAAGGTGACTTGTTTTGAAACTTTATTTTGTTCTGACAGGCTGACCTTACCTGGTCAGGTGCTGTGCTTCAGTTTGGAGCTTCTGTTTGAAGGTGGTTACTTTGGTTGCTGAGTTTTGATTGTCTAAGCATACCTCGGTTTGGAGGCATAAGTTATAAGCCAAAATATAGTGAAGAGAGAGTAAGGTGATTTTTAAGCCAAGCTATCAAGTAGCTGGATGTTTTTGTCTGTAGTCTTTCGAAAGCTGTCGTCTTATTTGTTGTTTTAGAATAACATAATTTATAACATTAGAAGGCCCTCCTTCCAATTGAGAACCTGGCTTGGCTTTTCCTCTGTGCTGGTCCCCAGGCTTGCTTTCCCTGAAGCAGGGATTTGGAAGACGCTTTCCTAGGTGCTTCAGGTGGTGTATGATGTAATCTCGTGGAAGTAGCTCCCTTGCTGTGATATTACTGTATTGCTCAGTCTTTTGTAGTAACTAGCTGCATGGCGGGGGGAAAAAGGTGTCCTAATAAATAGAAACATTCTTTCAATCATGTATAATGCTGCAGCGCTCCTAATGTGTTGTTCTCCCTACTCTTTTCTCTTTCCCCAGCTGGGCTGTTTTTTAGCCACCGGTATTGTGAGGAAAGCTGGTTTTGTTCCTGTTCACTTCCTTCTGAATTTTTTTTCAGAGTTCCCTTCTTAAAATGCCTGATTTTAAAGCCTACCTTTAAGCATGCCCAAGCTTCCACAGATATGCAGTTTGTGTTGTTGCTTTAAATCTGGGCTGAAACCACCCTTGTACTGTAAGGGGCAAACAGCTTTGTGCAAGTGCAGTGAGAATACTTTAAGGAACAATCCGACAAGGGCTTTTAAAGTGATTTATGGCTCAGCTCCTTCCTCCTTCTTCCTCCAACTGTTCATACAGAAAATTAAAAAAAAAAATCCACTCATTGTGAATTTGCATATGCTTAAATTCCAGGTTGTTTTTATATTATTTAAAGTCCCAACTTGGACTGGAACCTTCTCTATTTGCAGTAAGGAATTAGGCAAAACAAGTTCATAACCCATTATTGTGGTGCTTTGCCAAGAATCTATTAAGAAACATAGCAAGTTGCACAGCTGCCTGTGAAAGATCCAGGAGCGTCCTGGCACGGTGCCCTGCTGCCCCTGGCTCCGGCACGTCTTCCAAGGTGCGCGTGAGCGGAGAAGCTGCGAGGTTGCCCTGTTACTGTGAGGACACTCTGAACTGCTTGGGCCAAGCAGGGTGCTGAGTCATGGATCCAACTGGATAACGTGCCCTTAATACTATTTGCCTGTACCTGGGAATGGAAGCAGTTCAGTTATGTTTTGGTTGCATTATCATGCTGCAGATCGTCAGACTGTTTGGTAGTTTCTTGTTGTTTGAGAAACGCAGTCGTACTCAGTAGGATTTCCACTTAGGAGAGAAATATCTGAACTGTTTTTTCCTGTTCTCCAGTGACCTCTGCTATCCCTTCCTTGCCGCATAATCCCGATTACAAATTGCAAGCTGCAATTTTCTCTCGTATTTAAACAACTTGTTGTTTTCAGCAGCTACCTGAATGTTGTAGGTTAGGAGACATTGGCTTTAATTAGAGACCTGTATAATTAAGGCAACTTAAAAAAGTTTTGTTTGGGTAGTGCTGTTTTCCACGATTAAGCAAAATTTTAACAAATAGGCAATCACAGATCAAGCTAAAGCTGAGGTGTTTATTTTTTTCAGGCCAGATAGAAAGATTGTTGAATGTATTTGTATGTTGTGATAGAAGGTGGTTTGTATGGCTTGAAGTAATAAGAGGCCAAAATCCCCGAGCAGAGCAGGCTGCTGGCAGATACCCTGTGGCTTCAGCTCCAATCTCTTGTTGCTCTCTCCTGAAAAAGAGCCTATGCAGAGTCATGCTGGCAGATAGAAGTGGAGGAGCAGTAATTTTTAATAGCCTGGTAAAAATGGCTGCGGCTAATATCTTAATTTGGTTCATCTGTGACTAGAACAACATATCTGTCTGTTTGGGGACGGGGAATAGATTATAAATGCTGGAGCTGAGAGCTTTTGGGGAGAGATGTTACCAAAGAGACCTACCAAATAGTGAGAATAACAGTCACTAGTGTGAGTCTGACTTGCCAGGCATTCTTGTGCATTGAACTGGCTGAACTGGAAGTGTGGATGCGCGAATACATATGCCCTATATGGACAGGGAGGGACTTGGAGCTCTAGAGCTCTCTCGGAGCCTCTAGAGATCATCAACCCTCTGCTCAAGCAGGGACACCTGGATCATGTGGCACAGGGTCGCATCCGGGCGGATTTTGAAGATTTCCAGAGAAGGAGACTCCACAACCTCTCTGGGAAGCCTGTTCCAGGGCTCTGTCAGTCTTTGATTACAGGCATGAATGACTAATGTCTGTTTTCCATCTCTATAAAAGTAATCTTGCAACAACTGCAAATACTGTTGTGAACAGTTTTGCTTGGGAGAAAGCAGCGGTAGTGTCAAAGTTTGCTGGTAATTACTAAAATGGTAGGTACATTGCAGGTATTAAAATACTGCTGCGTTAAAATTGGTGTCTATGCCAGAGTAAAGCTCTCCTTGACTTTGAAGGTAAGGCAATTGTTGTCTTTTCCATGTTGAAAATAGAATATGAAAATGAGAAAAGCCTACAAAAATATATGTGAGTATTTGGGAGCAAAATCTGACTCGTAGTGCATTTGGCACGTCAACCCAAACTGTGTTGGATATTGTTTTTAAAAGTTCATCCTTCTCAGAAAGGATGTGAAATGTATTGTGAAATGACGCAGCAGTTAACATGATGCATACCACTTTGTACTCCTAATGACAGACAATACTGCTATAAATTTGTGGGCCCAATATTTTCTCTTTAAATTTGTAATCTAAAACTGAATTCAGGAGATAAGTAGCCTAACAGTTTTTTTTCCCCTCTCCTTTAGATGATAGCACTGAATGCCAAGCTGCTTCCAAGAAAGAAGAGCAGAACGACAAAGACAAGAAAGAAGAAGAAGAGACTCCGCTGCCCACTTACCGAGCCAAATCGATTGTTGAGAGTTGGGTATGGGGCAAGCAACCAGGTATTACAGGTGTTTCAGTAATTCCCACTGAAGCATTACATATACTGTGTTGATAACTACTTGTAGCATCAAGAAGTAATTGGATTAAGTGTACTTGTTGACAGGTGCGTCTGTTAGATTAGTGCAATAAGTCTGATAAGTGATTAACTGACAGGTGCTTCTGTTAGATTAGTGGAATAATTTTTGTAAGTGATCAACTACACAGTTCCAAGTTAAACACCATTTACTATTATTAGCTTTGGATTTAATTAGTTTCATGACTTGAAGAGTTAATTTGCATCTTTCATGCTGCTTCAAGGAACGAAGAACTGACTTGTTTGGAAGAAATGCAGTGATAAAGTGAAATGTTAGGACATTTTCAGAACTTTTCAGCTATAGACAGAAAAAAGAAAATGCCTGGTTTGAGAAGCCTGAATCTTCTGCAGGCAGTAGAGGTTTAATAGAAACATGTAGATGATTTTTCTTGACTTCTTCCTCTGGCAGGGGAATTTGTGACTCATGGGAGAAAGTTCAAATGGTTAGTGCAATTAGTTGTTAGTTCTGACTTCTGCTGACAGCAATCTTAACTGTGATGGTCATGGAAGAATCGTCTATATGTTCACATCTTTGTCCAATGGCTCTACGGCTTATCAAAACACCGATTTAAAAAAAATACATTTTTTTTTATATTGAAGACAGTTGAAGTTCATGACTGCTTGTTACTGCAGAGCAGCAGTTTATTGTATAAGTGGTCCTAATTAAAAATCGGAGATCAGAAGCAGCTTAACTCCAGTGGTGCGTGGTGTTCCTGTTTTAGACCTTATTATCTAAAGGCTTTGGTGAGATCTTTTATGCCCCCTTTTCTATCTCCTCAGTGAGAAACACTTGGACAAAAAGTGCTGTCTCTCCAGTGCCAGAACCTGAATCTGTGCAGCCATGTTTGCTAGGGAAGCTATTCAGCTTGTTTCTGATGTGGCACAGATCAGTGCCCAGTCTACACTGCTCTATGCCAAGCAGCTTGTCACCTTTCCTTGAGGACAGCAGGACAGATGGATTTGCTGTCACTCTCATATGGGGACAGAGAATTTTGCAGTGTAAAGGGAACGAAAAAAATTGCTTGTACAGTGGAAGAATTGAGTGTCCATTGAAGAGATGGAAGCAAAAAGACCTAGCATTTTTGTTTTTATTTTGTGTTGTTGATGAAGAATAAAATAAGAATATCTTACAAAATGGGAAACTAAATGGCAAACTTTTTATCAAATTTCTCCCGACTGATAGAAGTGTTTGGAAGGAAAAGCTGGCCTTGTGCAGATCCATGAACAATATTACAAAGGCATATATGTTTTATCTATAGAACAGTGTTAACGGATGCCTTTCACAATTTCAGGTAATATTTTCAGATAATGTTTGTCAGAAATATAGCTAACAACTACCTTTTGAGTCGCTCTGTTTTTTATGCATTATGATTCTGCCATTTTTTTTCTCCAAAATCTTTTAAGTGTAGCTGCTTCGTGTTAAGTTTTTCATAAAACAAGGAAATCTGTTTAAGCTTTCTTACGTCATCCATCCTAAAAAGACACAAACCCTTGAATATTTGACTATGAACTGTCTGACAAAAGCATAGAGCAGCTATGCATTTGTTGAAAAGGAGATTTCTTTCTCAGTTTCTTACTTTAAGTAACAATATACTTAAGACTTACTATGTTTAGATTATGTTTGCTTTTAAAATTTCTACATGTAGTATGTAGTTTGGAGCTTGAGATGCTTTACAAAAATAATAGAAAAGGAAGTCAATCTATCACTTCATTTCCTACAAAGTAGGCAGGGCTTACTGAGTTTCAGGTCAGTACTCTGAACTATTTTTATTAATTTTGATGACTCTCAGTCTTATAACATGAAAATAGTATATAGACAATAGATAGTGCACACTCGTGTTTGAGAAGTGCTGTAAGGCAACCTTGTTTTGCTGAGAATATTTGGTAAGTCACAAGGCTGAACTTCAACAGACTAGGTCAGTGGGCCTTGTGACATTGCTTCCCCATGAGGGATTTTGTGATCAGACAAAAAACTGTTTACTGCATGTGTTGAGAAGCAGTATTTACTTCTTTTTGGGTCCCTATTTGCTTTTTCATCCTGGCATGAGTTCAGAGAAGGGAAATGCTTTTTCCCCATTCTAATTTATGCTTGGATCAGTACTCTGCCAAAACAAGACAAAGAAGCTATAGTTTTTTGGAATCATCTTACTCTGCTAAACTCTGCAAAAAAAATGAGAAAAAACAATGTATAAGTCATTATTTGACTGTGGTGGATTTTTTTCTCCTTTCTAATTTTTTTAGGGTTCATCTGTCACATTCGGTTCTTACCTGGTTTCAACCTTGAGCAGCTCAGACCTCTTCTTCACGAGTGCTCATTTATCCCCCTGCTTCTTGCGTATTTATTAACCACTTTGTCTTGATTCTTGCTAAATATCTTGTTATACTTCTTTAATCCATTTTCTTTACATATATTCAACCGTGTATTGTATGAATAGTATCTCATAGTGCTTTTTTTTTTTTTTTTTTGGCTTCTGATAGTTTCACCTAATGCTCTGTTGCTCTTATACTGGAGAAGATGTCAAGCAAATGTTCTTTACTTGTCTTCCTTCTGACAGATTTTTTTTGTTTATTGCTTTTGTCCTAACCCCCCTCTACAGTGCATGCACACACATGCTGCACATGTGCGCATATGCTTGTTTTTTTTCTCAGGCTGAAGGTCTTAATTTATGCTGCTTTTTCTGTATGTAGAAGCTATTCTGAACACTGGTTCTTCCCCTTACTTTCTTTTTGCTTTATTTTGGTGCTGAGTAAGGTGGGTTGAGAAGATCAGAACTGCATATTCCATGAGATGGCATAATGATCTCCAGTTCTCTGTCTCAGTACTCTGTTTTTGCAACTGCTGTTGAACAGTGGCTTGGGCAGTTCTTCAAAGAACAACTCTGCTGTACTACCAAGATCTTATTCCTGAGGGCAAGTTATTTGATGCCTTAGCAAGGAAAGTTTGGTTTCCTTTAGCAAGGAAAAATGGGGAGTTTGTTTCCCTTGCTTATCAATGTACATCTACCATTTTGTTTTTCACGTGCTTCTTGTGTGATTGGCTGCACCCTTTTGCAGTTGGGACTCAGCTTCACTACTGTAATAGCAACAGACATTGTCACCTCGCTGTTTGTCTGCAGCGCTGGACTTTGCACAGGTTTCCATAGGACTTGCTAGCACTGTCACTCCACAGTGTTAACTGCCTCTTTATTCATACGCATTTTCACATGTCTTCTGAGTGTGTGTCTGCCATTTTTAAGGATTTCTCTGTTATCTTATGCTCATGTCCTTATCTGCTTTAGGAGCTCTTTGGTAAAGGCAGTTTTGTTTTTCAAAACCAGCAAGGGATCTCTTGTCCATGTGACTTACCCCTTCAGAGAACTGTCCCAAAAGACTTGTGACATGTGACTTGCTGTTTACAAGTGCTCTGTTGACTCTTACTCGGTGTATAATATTACTCATGTACCCAATAATTCTGTTCCTTATTCTAGTTCTCAATTTGGTGAACATAGACACTAAGAACCCTGGTTTATGCTTTAGACCAGTTCTCTCTGAAACCTATTAAAAAGACTATTTAAAGTGAGACTACTGCTAAAGGTTCACAGTCTTACCCTTTATTTCTTGAAGTTCTTAAAGTGAGTATTGTCTGGTTTCAGTAATCTGTTAGCATTGACTTGCTCTGTCATCATCATCCAGTACTGTATGATTTGAGACAGATACTTTGATGCATCACTTGTAGCAGGAAGTTCTTGTATGGGAACATCCGTTCTTTTCTGTACCAAACCCAGTGTGTTTACTTTTTGGAGATTAAGTCGAGCTTTTATCTCCTCCTTATTGATTTGCCACTAAAAACTCCAATCATTTTCTTCCCTTTTTTGTAAAGGCCTCCTCTCTCTTAAGTTTTGTGCTCCAGGATTGACTTCCTATTGCTGACAGAAGGAGGGCAAAGTATCTGTAAAGCCTGTTTTGTCTCATTTAAAGCAAGGCATTGTATTTTCCTTATTGTTATTTCTTATTTTTAAAACACTTTTATAGACATGTGTAAATTACTTCTGATTTTCTGTTTTTCAGCATGTGAGGGAGACTCTCTGCTGTTTGTTACCATTTTCTTGAATTTTGCCAGCTTATCTTCCATTTCTAATTAGAGAATGTAGATTACCCAAGACTACTACTACAAGATGTATTGTTTCAAACCCTGTGTTTTTATGGGTCTACTTCTGCTCCTCCTTCATAGAAAAACTTTTAGGACTTCTTCATACTATGTTTTTAGTTTTGAGATGAAAAACATCCATTTTAAACAGGTGATGGTTCCTGGTAAAGTTGAATCTGCATCTCTACACATTTTCAGAGATATATGGAGGTTTTTCTTCTTTAACAAAGTCTAGTCCTGCACCTAGCATAGATGAAAATTTCAAAATCTACTACCAGAAAGATTCTGAACTTCAGTTTCCTATATAGTAGTCTACGTTTTTGCCTTGAGTATCTTTTGTCAACAAAAGGCATGTTGTTGGTACTCACAGGGATGCATTGGTTCCTTGTCACCCTAGCATTGTATCTCTGTACTCAGAGGTCTCGTGCTTTTGTCCTCTGCCGGCAATTATGTCTAGTCCTGCTCGTGCGTTTTCCCTAGGGAGTTGTGCCTTTCAGAGAAGTGGGTGGCAGCAGAAGGGAAGCGACTAATCACTGGGCAACTGATCGGTGTGCAATTTGCGGTTGACAGAAAATGGAAAAAGTTCCCTGAAAACCAGAAAATGGGAAAGTAGAATGTTTTTTCCTCAAGGAATTTAGACTTGAAAAGGAAAAAGGCTGTGTGGGAGGAGCACAAATGCTGAAGAAGGAGTATTCTGTTTTGTGTCTGCTCCCCCTGCAATTAAATTACTGTTTTAATGAAGCCTTTTTTATGGTTAGGCCATTGGCGCTCCCCCTGCAATTAAATTATTGTTTTAATGA